TCAAGATAATTCACACGTTTTTCAATTTGAGCTTTGATGATGATCTCAGCTCTGGCACACTTCTCTGCCTTTGCCTGCCTGGACTCACTTCAAACACAGATGTCAGTACATACATATACCATGTGCAAAGGCAGGGGGAGAACTTGGCACTTGTGCACTGAAGGTAGTATGCCTAAGTGAGGGAACACTGCTCAAGGCAGAGGGTTGTGCACAGACTAAAGTAACCAACAATCCAAGCTCCCAAATTCAACTTAGCCTCAGCCTCTCTGCCCTCCTACTACAATTTTATTTCCTGTCCTTCATCTGGGGTGCTTCTCTTTGACTTGGTAATTCAAGATTTTCAACCCAGCTCCTCCCTCTCACCTCGCAACTCATTCCCTAGAGACCACACGGCTCCAGGAACAGTGCTACGTACGCTAGCAGTAGGAGACAGGAGTACTTGCTGAAACATAACTCACCACACCAGGTAACTCCAGATTCTGATTTCAAACATGTGGTGAGAATGGGGCATGCAAACTGTGGACATAGTTCAGTTCAGTCCATAACACAGCAATCACAAACTTACTTGAGCAATTAAACTGTGTGCTCCATTGTGTCCCTAGAAAGCTGTTTCAGAAACAGCTAGACCTTAGTTGCAAGGGATTTCCTGCAAATTTCCAGCTGACTTCTTTGAAAATATTAAAAATCTCCAAATCTGGTAAGACTGCACCAGATGAAGTTCAAAAGAAGCATCAATAGAAAGAGGTCTGAAAATTAACCTGCATGCAGCTTTAAGGATGCAGCTTTCGCACCTGCTTCTACTTCTGTTTGTACAGCCAAGCATCCCAGTTTGTTCAAAATCTATCCATGCTGTGCTGGTTGCCACACTGGGCAATTACAATTGACTTTACTATAGTGAATGGACATTAAGGGGACAAAACACATGGTGAGTCTTTTTCCTAAAGAGCTCGAAACATTTGAAGAACAGAGCCACCGCATGTAATTTTTTGCTTACAGTAATCCTCCTCTACTCTAGAAGTCCTTAAGACAATTCCGCTCTCCAGCTCTCACCTCAGAAACAGCCATTTGCCTTTAGGGCTCCCAGTGTTGTCCTTGCAATATCATAACACCTGAGTGGCACTATTCTGCTTGGGACCAGCGAAAAGAGAAACACGGTACCCACATACTTCCTAATAAGCAAAGTTTTTAATGCCAATATCTAGCAAGTCCACAATTCTGACATCTGTAGAACTGGACTGAGGTCAGAAATTTGACTTGGCATTTACACAGCTTCAGTTAACAGATTACTTTAGTGTCTTTCATATAAAAGGGCTTTTATATTAAAGCTGTATGGGATACAGAAATACACTTAGAAATCTGTTTTAATCAGAAAGAAGAGAATGGTCTCAGCACAAGGTACTAAGCACCTGTGGTCAATATGAGGGCACACCAGATGATTGAAAAATTTTGCATCATCTTAGACTCTCTTCATGTGTTAGATTCACTGCCAATTCTTCTGCTAGGGTCCTGCCCCAAAGCTAAACAATCAAAAGAAGATGCTATGCTGCAGCCACTTCTGTTAACATGTGATCTGCTCTCTCTATTTTTAAAATGCAGGAACATACCAAGGTCTTTGCACCTAAACCTGATATAAATGCAACACATCTTGCAGGACTTAGTTCTCTTTACTTATCCACGCACTGGAGACATTTCTGCAGAAGAAGTCTAGAATATATATATATGTATAGGTTTATAAAACTCCTAAGCACAACAGCAAGTATGAAATAGATGATCAGGATCGGTTACAAATTTAATGATAGTAAATTGCGTTATCAACTGAACTGTTCTAAAGGTGGATACTAATACTACAAAACCAAAACAATAATTAAGGATGGCAATCTACTGTAAGATATCTGTAATGGTTGTGAAAATACTTCTTATTTTATTGCAGAAATAGAAATAACGGGGTTGCAAGTGAGGAAATAAGATCTGAAGGAAGAAGAACTGTCCATGCATATGTCATACATATGCATCTTTAACCTGGTCACTGTTTCTGCATCTCTGTACAATACATATACTCTGCTCTTGTACAATATACATCTTCTCCTGTGCAATTGTTAGAACTACAAGGCAGAGGACTTATGCTCTCATCCTGAATGGTGACAGTGCAGCTGCTTATTCTAATGATGTGTGTGTGTGTGTGTGTGTAAAAAAGGCTGCAGCAAAATAGCACCCAGATGCTACAGACAGGAGTAGGTTTGAATGGTTTTAGGCAATGTGTAGCCAAGAAGTAAGAATACCAAGCAGAAACTACAAATTAAATCAAACAAAACAAGACAAAACATAAACACCAGCATTGTCAGAATAAATCTTTTGCATAGTAAATTTAAAGAAACTTACGTGCAAGGGGTTCCACTTCCCAGCCTTCCAGCACAGCACAAGGGAAAGGATAAACAAGCAGAGTAAGACAGAGCAGGAAGCACTTTTTGAAGTCACTGGTGTAATGCAGACAGGACAGCTGAGGCTAACAATTGTTAAAAGCAGAGGAGACTGAAGTGTGGCTTCCAAGCAAAATACAACTCATGAATGCATTGTCTTTCACACAGAGCAAGTGGCAAATTCTAGGCTCTGTCCAGGGCAAGGGTGAGCTCTCCAGTACATTCACAGAAAGCAGTTTTCTGGAGAACAATCCCATTCACTGCAGGGGTGGTCACATGCCTGAAACATCTACCCATACCCTCTACTCTTTAAGGGCAAGATGCTCTGTACTTTATGTGATCTGTAAGCATTAGTTCTGCCATGTAAATGTGAGCACCATATTTGCACAGCAAGTGAAATGGGGTGAGCATTTCTCTAAGTGACATCTTCCTATCAAATGTGCTGACAGCAGCAAGACACTACATTTAATCCCAGTTTTGCTGTTGGAAGCACTAGAAAGAAAATACACAGCCCTTTGAGAGTCTCATTAATAACAAAACCTCTCATTAATCTCACTTTGAGAGTCTCATTAATAACAAAACCCAAAAGAGGCTGTGATCTGTAACTTTGTCACTAGTAAAGGCAGCAGAATTTCAGTTTGTATTATTGTCGCTATCCCTTCCAGCTGGGAAACGAACATTTTGCTAACAACTACTATAAAGAAGAAAACCAGAACTGGCAGCCCCAAGAAAGGAGTTTGCTTGGTTTTGTTTGTAAAAAAATTTCTTATTTCCCTAATGTAGTTCAGTGTACCAGGTTATAAAACAGAAGTGTGGAAGCACATATAAATGCAATCTCTATAAAGAGTATTATTAACTTATCTGACAATCGTTAGGAGTGGAAAGAAATTTCCATCAAAGGACAGAAGAGTTTATATCAAACAAGATATATCTTCTGTAGCATGTTGTCCATTAGAAACAAAAAGTAACCAAAAAGTGACCTGAATTGATACTGAACAAGTTAAAATCATGAAACAGGAACCATGATGTCTTACCTTTCCCTTTGAAATAGCTTTGTAGGCTGCCTTTATGATCAGGTAAGACCAAAAACAGTGCAGAATTTGAAGAATTATAAGCAGCACATTGAAGACCCACAAGGCAGGAAAATTGCCCAGAGCTTCATACAGTTCAAACAATGTTGTGTTTAATATCCTAGAAGAGAAAGGGACAGAAAAATAATAACACTTTTCTTAAGTCAACTATCTCAAAGAAGCCCTTTTTAAATCAAGATGACAAGCATTTGATTAGATGGGATCCACATGGACAGTTGGTTCTCAAAGTAATAGTGACTTGGACTATATCACCCAGTTGTTTCCAGAGAGAAACAACATCAAAATATTTTCAACATTTAACATAATTTTGAAAACATTGCATATAGAAAACAAAGATCCTCAACGTGCATTTCTTCCCTTCATCTATAAAGCTGGCAGGTGTTGGTTGACTCAAGTAACTCCTTCCCTTATTAATAACATGAATTACTTTATTCCATTAAAAAAATTAAGTTATTCCATCCCAACTGCCTCCAGTAGGGGTTTGGTGGCCCCATATTAGCACCTTTAAGAGCATCTATGAGCGCTGTTAAACTACAGTGTGACCTATATGCAGTACCGTGTTCTTCAGGCCATGTTCCCAGACTGACACTGACAGCAACAGCCCCTATATTAAATGAGACAAACCTGTACCACGAGTACCCTAGGTACTTCCCAGCTGATTCCCTCTCTCCCAAAGCCAATCTTAAAGCTGAAGGGTTTGTTTCAGTGTACACAACTACGGATGTCATTGCTCACCTGGTATCAGCAACACAAATGTTGTGTGGAACTGAAAACAGGCTAAGACCATTGAATTAAAGTGAAACTTCGGTGGCACCTGAAATAATGGCACATGTGTGGCAGGATTCAGCTTCTTACAGGGTTTTCTAAGAACTGAGGGGCTGATGCGGTGTGAGTTTGGCTGAGTGTCCCAACATAAACTCTCATTTTGTGGAAACCTCAGCACTAACAGAAAGCTGAAGTCAAAACTGTAAACCAGTTGAGGGGCTTAACCCTGGGTATTGAACATCTCACTGCAAAGGTCCTGGGAAGCCCCAGTGGCCACTTTCTGCACAAAATCCAATTTGCACACCACCTACATACAGCCAAGAGTGAGATTTAGCAGTTACATAAAGGACAAGTGGACAACAGGTGCAGCAAGGGATAGGACACCTCACTGCAGCCTTTCCATACTTAAAGGGGCTTATAAGAAAGATGGGGACAGACTTTCTAGCAGGGTCTGTTGCAATACAACAATAGGTGATGGTTTTAAGCTAAAAGTGGGTAGATTTAGACCAGATACAAGGAAAAGATTTTCTACAAGAAGAGTGGTAAAACACTGGAAAAGGCTGCTCACAGAGATGTAGACTCCCTGTTCCTGGAAGCATTCAAGGTCAGGTTGGACAGGGCTCTGAGCAATCTGATCTAGATTAAGATGTCCCTGGTTATTGCAGAGGGGCTGAACTAGATGACACTGAAAGGTCTCTTGCAACCCTAATCATTCTATGTTTCTAAGAAATTCAGGCAGTTCTAGACATTTGAACCAAGTTTTTGGGAATTGGCATTTCAGATCCAGGCAGTAACTGATGTTCTAACATGATTTCTGCAGCTTTGTGAATACAGCACTAATTTTCTGCCCAAATACCCTGCCACAGCATATGCTTTCAATCTGGACCTCAGCAAACATCCTGAGAGCAGAGAGTAGACAACACACAGTAGAAACAATAGCATTTCTGGAAACAAGTAATGATCTAGGAATGGATGCTAACTAGGAGGAGAAAAAGAAGGAAGTATAAGGATTTGTCAACGTCCATCCATTTCCCTGCTGGTGTAAAAATTCATTAAAAACTCCATTGGTTTTACGTTTTTCTTTGTTCTTAATTGACTATCATGCGCTAGGCACTAGATGGCGCCTAGAACCAAGGCAAGCGCCCGCACCAGCATCCCAGCACCCCAGCACCCCAGCATCCCAGCATCCCAGCATCCCAGCATCCCAGCACCCCAGCATCCCAGCATCCCAGCATCCCGGCCCCGAGGTCCTGCCGGGCTCCAGCGCAGCACAGCGATCAGGGGGCAAGTCGCACATACCAGTTTCGGCTTTATAATAGGCAAACATATTTGCCACAATCCTTTCCAACAACATAAATCAGTTCAGGTACTATTAAGAAGTATGTACAGACAGCAAACCTAGAATACAACATTTATCAGTAGTGATATGTGTGTTTAATGGCATTGGTCAAAAATCAACCAGTGATTTCTAACACACAGGCTCTCATACTGCAGGGGCATTTCATAGTAATTCCAACTTCTTTTATTTTTTTGCCTTCTTACACTAAACTGCACATGTGCTTCATAATTTATTGAGAAGCTGGTATTTTCTAACCTTACTATACAGCTGTGTTTTTACACTGGCTTCTGTTTATGGAGTGAACAGCAGAAAAAGAAACTGTTTTCCAGTTTGCAAAAAACCCATCATAGTATTGCTTCTGTCATTTAGAACTCTTCAGTCTCAGCTTTGTGTAATTCAGCCTGCCAATAGTAGCTCTGCATGGCACAGCAATACCACACTTTACAGTTCAAGGAGATGCTCTCATGCATATCAAAACAGAGCTGTAGTCAGCACTGTTTGACTTCAGCAGTGCTTATTGCAGTTCTAACCATTATATCAAACTCAAACTTGAAACCAACAACTCCTGTATATAAAGTGACCACTGTTTACATCCAACTGTCTTTATGTCTAAAATTTTAGATGCTCCAAAATTGAAAATGCAATTTTTAAAGGTTTCTGTTTATATTTTCATTCACTGGGCAAAATTCATCTCTGGGAAATTCCACAGGAGTCAAGTCAAAAAAGCAGCATTAGAGATGCAGATGGTTCAGTCTTGCAGAAGTCCAAATTATCAGGAAGAAAGCAAGGCCAAATAGAGTGCTTCTGGTACCCAAAGCAGTTTCATGTGCAAATGAATCACCTATTCTATATTAGATATGGGAAATAAGCCTCCATTGACAAAGCAGACCTCTTTCTAACCTGCTCATGTCTGGCAAAATAAGGACAGGACTGCAATTCTCCATTAAAGCTGCATAAAGGATCTCACTAATTTCCCAGCAGTGCTAAGAGGGGTCAGTGATCTGGTGTGCAGGATAGGTGTGCAGACGGCACAAAGGCTATGTCTAAGCACCTAGGGCTGAGCAGAAACTGAATGAAAAATACAGAAAAGTCTGAAATGGGGGATGTTCATAAGGTTATTAGGCTGAATATACACAGATAAAATCTGCTTGTAGAGACTGAGGAAGACGGGGAGGAAAGAATGATTAGACCACTTTCCAGCAATTCCACTGCTGAAAGTATTCAACGGAAGCATTTTAACCAGCTACACAAATAACAGGGACTGGAAAAACCAGCATGAGGATGCATTACATGGAGGAGAAAGTGGCTATAGGAGGTATATGTAAATACATATCAGGTTTAAATACTCAGAAAAGCATTCATGCACTTAAATCTGAAAACATGGTTGCTGGAATTTTTCAAAGCTCTCCAGTGATTAAATCCCTTTTCATAATGAATGGCAGAAACTGCTTCTTAGGTACCTGACTTGAAACAGTTGGACATGATCTCACAGAGGGAAATTATTTTAAGCTGCAAGTGCTCTACCTTTCTGTAAATTTTACTCAGCATTTCTCAGATCTCTGCAATTTGAAACTAAAAGTTAGCTTCTGCTTTTGACAACAGGTTCTAGACTGTAGCAATTTTTTTTAGGCCCTGGAAGATTTTGGTAGCTGGAGAATCTCATGGAAGGTATTCTTCCCTCATTAAATACATTCCAAGCATGGCTGTGCACCTGGCTGTGTTGAGCTCTCAGTTTAGCATCTTAAAAGTAGTGTGGCTGATGATGGCAAATGAAAACAAATTCATCACTTAAGATCCAATCTACTCTTGGAGAAATCTGTGGTATACTTTCTGGAATACTGCCACCATATCTGAGCCACTGGGAGAGGTAATCCTGTACTTACTCTACTACCATTCTAATTGAACACTCAGGATAAAATTAACACACTTTTAACAACTACTAAACCATCAGTTGCAACATATCAACAGTAACCCAAGTTTTTCCTCTACAGTCTAACTCTGTCTAGACAGTGAAGCAGTACTTGAGGAGTCTATTGGCAACAGACCCGTACACCAACTCATTAAGATTACACTCCCTTCCCTCAACTTAGTGGGCCCAAATCCAGACTCTTGGGTAACAGTTATTAATTCTTGGCAAGCTGATCACTTTTCTTGCATTGGGGATGAAAAGAGAACCTGGAGATGAAGGAAGTGAGATAAAGAAAGAGAGGGATGGGTGGAATAGTAAAATGCTGTCATGTTGTTACCACAGTGCAATAGTTAGAAGTCTCAAAGTATGACCAAGGACAGCACAATATGATAAGCAGCTTGTCTAAGTAACTCAGAATGAATGCCTTTATCTCCTTTACCAAGTGTATGTTAAACAAGAGTATTCTATATTGCACCATAACCATCTGTACTGGAACACTTTCAATACTGCCTGCACTACACAGAAAACAGATAATTACATCTAGGTGGGCATTAATGACATTCAGATCCTATTTTGTGCAAGTAACCTAACAATACCACTGCCAGCAATGCTTCAAACTTTCTGCTTTTTATGAATTTTTCCTTTAAAAAATAAACCATTGCACTTACTTCTGCCCCCAAAACACAGTAGTTTACTTTCCATTATACAGGGTAAAAAGTGAACAAGACAAGAAAATAAAGAGTCAGGAATTCTAAATTCTAGATTTAGGTGTTCTATTAACTTAAGTGATTGAAGAAAATGTCAAATTTCTTTACACAGTTCACTTTTAATTAAAGATGGGCACAGGATATTGGTAAATCCCTGGAAGTTTTTAAGATAAGACTAGATGTGGCACTTAGTGTCATGGTCTAATAAACACAGCAGAGTTGAACTTGATGATCTTGGAGGTCTTTTCCAACCAGGCTGATTCTATGATCTTGTCTGCCAGATAAAGATGCTAGGAGAATTAGCTTGTTTATAAAACATCATGGACTACTTCCTTAAAAGATGCCATGAAATGGACAGGTAGAAAAAACACCACTGAGAT